AGATAAACTGGATGAAACACTGGTAGGAAAATATGTTGTGATAGATTTGTTTGACAGGTGGGTGGCATCTTTGAAATATAGATTAAAGTTGAAGAAAAGCAACCCTAACAAAATCACAAGAAAAGAATTTGATAAACTAAATACAAGGGAAGAATGGAGCAAAGAGACAGGAATAGATGAAACACCACTGAAAAGAAGACGCAGAAAAGATGGAGGTAGAGAGTTTGATGTAATACATAGAACTGAATTGTTTGATACATTATTTAAAAGACTGGTGAAGAAGAATAAAGAACTGATAAGTAATTACCCTAACCTTGAAGACTACACAAGTGCCATCAAGATTTTAGACACTACTGATGTATCAAACACAGGAGGTAGTGGTGAGGAAACAAAAAAGAAACTGAAAGATGGCAACGAGATAGGAATGTATCACTGCACCATTAATACCGAAATGGATGTTGCAAGTGATAATTTAGTTGATGCCATCAAAAATAAGAAACACAGTGATGGGGAATGCTGGATTAACACACTGATAGACCACTTTGAAGAGACACTGATGAATACAAAAAAGTGGGAGAGCAAAAGAATGACAAGAGATAAGGTTTTGAAACTAATGAATTTGAATGAAGAAGAGTTCAGAGAGAATGGGGCATCAGTTGAAGATATGAAACCTGTTTTTGAAGAATTTAAATTAACAGTCAGATTATATAACTGTATTGGTCAAAAGATTTATACGATAAGAAGAACAAAAACATAACTGTTTTGTTTGGATTGATTAAAGGCAACCACATTTACACAATGAATGACAACATCAAAAGCATAGCGCAAAAATAATTAGAGGAAAATATGAAAATATGTGCTTCTACTGACTTTCGTTTAAATAGCAAGGAGAAACCAGTTAAGTATGATTTTTTCAATGGCATTGACGACATAATGGGTATAGTTAAAGAGAATGAAGATGAAGAAAAAGAAGTAAATTTAATTAGTGGCAAAAGTTTGAATACGATTTTTTGTGAGTTCAAAAGGGCAAAGTATGAGCCTAAAATCATAATGGGAGCAGGTGGCAATGTATCATCACTCAAGGTAAAATTTAATGGGTTGATTTTGAACATCAGAAGTCAAACTTTGATAGACTGCGCTGTGGATACTTGTATTGATAGTAGGGATGCTAAAATGTTTAATGTAGTCAATGAGGCATTTTTTAATTTCAATAAGGGTATGTTCAATCCTAATCATAAGTCATACTACCATAATGATGACTTGATAATATTTTCAATGGCACATAGCATAGCACCCAGTGGATATTTTGAAAGCATCATTGAAGGAAAGGATACATACATTGAATTAGATAGAAGAAAGGCTTATACAAAATCCACCATTGATATTTTTGAAGTGCCTGTCTTTTCTGAATTTGATATTTCGAGAAAGTATGATTATTCAAAGAATGATTTTAACAAGATGAATGCCTTAACATTATATCTTGTTAAAAGCAAAAGGATAAATCTATTTTTCAATAGGACTTATCACTTGATATATGGTAAGTTTTTGAAAAAATATGCTGATGATGTTGAAGTCATTTATTACAAATTTCCATCTAATACATACAAAGTTATTTACAAAAAGTTAGTTGATGAACTTTGGAAATTGAAACTGGATGAGGATGAAGAGAAAGATAAGTTGAAAAAGAAAATGATTGCTTGTATTGACATTGGCTTATTAGAAAAACAAACTAACACTGCTAAAAAGTCAATAGTGTTTTCAAAAATGGTTGATGCCTTTTATTATCAAGAAAAATACGGTGGTGATATAAATATTATTACTGAAACTACATACGACCGCTATTTCAATGATGGTTATGATGATGATGATGATATGATGATGATATGCTGATTGAAAAGGATGATAAGGGAAATGTCATTGAGAATATTGAGAATGAAGTTGATAATGATATTCCTAAAAAGATAGATGAGTGTAAGCATTATGTGCTGAATATGTCTGATACAAAACTTTAATGAATGGATATAGGTTTATCAAAGAACTAATTTTACAACATCATAACTTTGATATGAATGAGGCTTATGAAACACTTATGAGGGATGGTGTCAAGGTGTATTCAGTAAAAACTGATGCCTTTGTGATTGATAAATGTAATCTGGGTAAAGCAAAGGAGGTCTTAAAGTTTGGTAGTGAGATTGGAAACTGGAGGTGGTCTGATAAATTCAATTTTCCTAGCAAGGCATTTTGTAAGCAACTTAGTATTTTGTGTGATATTACTGAATATCAAAATATGACTGGTGAAGTGAAGGATGAATGGAATACTGATGAAATCATAGATGAGCATATTTTGAATAATAAGAGGTTGATGATAAGAGGGGAAGTAGCAGGAGCAGGTAAGAGTTATATATGTAAGCATCTGAAAACCAGAAATTACCGGGTTCTATTTGTTGTTCATAGCAATGAGTTAGGGCAACAATGTGGTTGTGAATGGACTACCATAAATAAGTTTTTTGGTATTTCATTTGGAGATGAAAGACTGAACAAGTTTGATTATTCAGGTTGTGATTCTGATGTTATAGTGTTTGATGAGATATATTTTCATAATGTAGGCAAGTGGGCTTTGATATGGGACTTTGAGAAGAAAAACCCTGATAAGATTGTATTAGCAACTGGTGATACAAAGCAATTGAAAAACCCAGAGAGAGTAAGCTATGTAATTAGTTTAGAAAAAAATCGCCGACCATTGTATTAATTTGATTTTCAAAAATAATATTGTGCTTTATGAATGTATATAAGAGGTTGAAGACTGAAGAAGATAGGCAAAAGTTAAGAGATGTTAAAAGGTTGATTTTTGAAGGCACACCTTTTAGAGAAATCATTGATGCATATTTCAAATGGACTGACAAGATAGAAATGTATGATAATAACATTGCTTATACAAACAACACCTGTAAAATGGTTTCAAGCAAAATCAGAGACATGAAAAATATAACTGAAGAACATGTGATAAATGAGGAGGTGATATGTAGAAAATATATTAAGACTAAAGGCAAGAAATTTAATGTGAATTTCAGATTTAGGATTGCAAATATTGTTGGTGATATTGTTGTTTTACAAAATTTGGCAACTGGTGAGAAGCAAAATATAGAACTGAAATTATTGAGAAAGCATTATATATATGCTTACTGCTACACCGCTCATTCAAAGCAGGGCTGTAGTGTTGATGGTGATATAGTGATATATGATTGGAATGAATGGTATGTTAGTAAGAATTGGTTTTTCACCGCCCTTACAAGGGCGACAGACTTTAACAAAATCAAGTTTTTCAAATATAATGAAGGTCAAGAAAGTAAATCTAAAAGGATAGTAGAGCAGTATTTTGAGAGAAAGGTTTTAAATTACATTGAGCAAGATATAAAAGCAGGTAGAGATGTAGAAGATGGAAATTATGTAGATGTAGATTTCTTGATGAACCTGATGAATACCCAGTGTGAAATTTGTAATGAACCATTAGTGATAGATTTTGAAGATAGCAAGGTTTCATCAAATATTAGTTGCCAAAGGGTTAATTGTAGCATTTCGCACTTCAAAGATAATTGTATAGGCTTATGTGTTCAATGTAATTGTGCTTTTTCAAATAAAATATCATTATAAATATATGAGTAATAAGCAGACGATTATTAGTGATATTTATTTTGATAGAAGTGGCTATGGAAGCAAGGCTACTACTTTAAAAGATGCCAGAGAGAAAGATAAAACTATTACTATGAAAGATGTAGTTTTTTTTTTAGAAAGAAGGTTGAGATTAAGAGAAAGCAAAGGGGTCAGAACAGTTTTGTAGCCCCCCACAATGCCCACAACAACCATACTTTTCAACTTGATTTGTTTTTCATTTCAACAAATGATAGTGAAGCAACACAACAGTTTAAAGCTGGGTTGGTAATGATTGATGTATTAAGTAAATATGCTGTAGTAGTCCCTATTAAAAGCAAAAACCCAGCCGATGTCATCGCTGGAACAATGGATGGGCTAGAAAAGATGAGGGCAAAACCAAAAATCATCTACACTGATGATGAAGGTAGTATAAGTGGTGCTGACTTCAAGCAGCTAGTAGAAGATGAAGGGATTGAACTTTATAGAACTAGAGGTCATCCAGCCTTCGCTGAAAGATTCATTAGGACATTTAAAGATAAACTGTTTAAAAAGGGTTGAGAATGATGAGAAGAAAGGAAAAAATAACATTCAATGGATAGATTTCATAACCGAGATTTTACCAACATTCAACAACAAAGACGTTCATAGTGCTACTGGACTAACTCCAAATGAAGCAAGGAAAGAACGGAATGAGTTTAGAGCAAAACTTAATGTTTCAGTAAAAGCAAAGAAGGAAAGGATGTATCCAACATTAGAGGTGGGAGACAAAGTAAAGATAATGAGAAAGAAAGCAATTACAGAGAAAGAAAGAACTTCCGGCTGGCTGAAAGGTTATTATGTTGTGCAAGAGATTGCAGAAAAGTTGAACCAAAAATATTACAAATTAACTGATTACCCAAGATTGTTGATGAGGCACGAACTTTTCAAGATTTAGTGTTTTTAGAACGCCATGATGCAACCATGAGATGGTTGATTTTATGTGCTCTTTTGGTTTCGGGGGTTTGTGTTTTGCCCTTCATTTGTTTTCCCCACGAATTTGTGTTTGGCACTTTTGGGTCATTGGCTGGGATTACTCTATGTTCCTTTGTCCTTCTGCCCCGTCATGGCTTCCTCATCAATCTCTTCTGCATCCTGTTGTCGGGGCGCTCAGCTGTTGGGAATATGCCAGTCAGAGGTTTGAAGCCACATGTTCTTGGAGAGCTTGACCTTGGAATTTGTTTAAATTTGAGCACCTTTGACAGTCTAAGTCTTAGTTGGAAAGCTACAGAAATTTGCTCTTTCAGTTTGAGCTTGGATTTTTTGTCATTTTTCAGCATCTTTATGGTCTTCCGTAGCTGTTCGTACAGATTTTGCCTCAAGCACTCAGGGACGCTATTTTGCTCACGGGTGTCGGCATTGCCATGGCGCTGAAATCCGGTGTATTCGCTTGCCTCCTCCTTGCATTGCGCGTGAGCTGCGACAACGCCATGCCACAGGAGACTGAGAAGAGCCGAGTGCCTTTTCCCGAGAACCTCAAGGAGACTGAGAAAAGCGGCTCCACCATCCTTGCATTGGGCTCTGGAGCTGAACACACCAACCGTACAGACATTGCCTCACAAAACGTGAGCTTGAACAACGCCCCGGTCCATCAGCTCAAGGTAGGAAGATGTTCGTGCAGGGCTAATACCTGCGGCACCGGGGACCATCCCAGGTGTTGTAGATGTTGTCCGGCTTGGTCGGAAGCGTGCTACAGGAGGTAGGTGTTCTGTATGAGGCCGCCATCACTCTGCCAATTTTGGTGAAGGTGCTTGCGAAGGCTTGCTCTTCCAAAAGGACGAGTTGCCAGACAGTGCTTTGAGCAGATCCTTTTGTCATTGAAAAGCTTTGTGTGTAGATGGGCATTGTTTCAATCGAGCATTCATGCCAGTGAGCCTTCAAAGCTTGACATTCAGTGCATGCATGCCTGATAAACAGACAAACACTCCCAAATACTTTAAAATACTGGCACCAACAAGGCACACCACACAAACCTTTTTCACGCCATTTCGCCCCAAAGTTTGGATTGCTGTGCTATTTACATCGCGCTGAGGTTAAGAAGACATGGTCATCAACAAGTTCATGAAGGGTGGTTTGGGCATAGTAATTGCGGTAATTAAAGAGATTTGGGGTTGAGAAAGATGTGATGCTGTTGTGATATGCTAGTTTTTATGTATGCTGGTATGTATGCTGGGGGTGGGATAGTATTTTGGCTGGGGGCTGAGGCTTCCCCTACAGGGAGAGACTGTGGTAATTAATCCCATAATATTCATAATAAATGATTATGAAAATAATGTTGGTTATCCCCATAAATTTGATAACATAATTCTATTAAATTTATGTTGCAATTATTTTTTCAGGAATATTTCTAGCAATTACAATTTTCTAGAAATAACACCTATGAAATAGATAAGGTAAGATGATGTATATTTGTTTATGCTTTGATGAACATTATTCAATACAATTATGATGATTATATTTTGTAATTTTTACGGATGAGATGGATGAGATGGGTTGATATGATGAGGTTGTTGTGGTTTATGTTATTGGTTTTATTTAATAGTAGGTTGTTAGGATTTTGTTATTGTTGTTTTGTTGCTTTGTTTTTGTTTGTAGTAGGTTGCTTTGATTTTTTTTTGTTGTTATGACTATGGTATAGTCTATTTTATAATCTATTGTATTGTTTAGGTCCAGGTTTGTTGAGTTTTTTGTTTTGTTGTTTCGTTGTTATGATTTATGTTATTGTTTCCTATAAGGTGTTACTCCCCTGTCTTTGGTATTAACCCCATAGAATTTGCTAGTATAATAATGTGGGCGGTCAGGGAAAAAGATGGGGGAGCAACAGTCTAACCATAATATATGTATATATATATATGTATACATACATATCCATATTTTAGGGTTACATGTCCATTTTTTCTCCCAGGAGTGGATGGCTAGGCGTCCCAAGAGAAGCCAGAAACTCGCCAGGCCTGGAGCGGCAAGTGGCTTGGGAGAGATGATTTCATTCCTTCCTTTGGGCAGAACAAATTGGAGATGGGTAAAAAATGGTAAACACGACATGACATTTATGATCATTTATGTTCTTTTCTATGATTTTCCGTTTGTTTTCTACGAAATCAATGCTTTGCAGCCGTGGGTCTGGGACTAATGTTGGGAGATGTGCAACATGTGGTGCTTTCTGTTGACTCCCCTTGCTCCTCAAACTTACTTGGGTAATGATGTGGCTTATGAATGTTCACTATTGGGGTCACCACTTTAGACCTATGTAGATAGATATATGATATATGTGTATACATATATATATATATGTGTGTATACATATATATATATATATCCGCTGGTTATTTAGCATAGCTATTGAAAATTACATCATAACTTCATAAATCAATGGTCCATGGAGTCCATCATAGCGCAGATGATGGATGCCGTGGGCGGCTTGCTCGTGGCGGTGGAGCTGTCTCGTTGACAGACACAGATGTAGTGGTCATGGTGACATGGGGCTTTACAAAGGTCTTAATTTTGGGTATGAAAAATGGTACTACAGGGTATGACATGGTATTACATATGCCACACACTGCAATTTTCATGGGGACGTTACGGTTTTCACATGCTTTGTAACCATGATTAAGCAAACTATGGGATATAAGCCTATTTTTGGACAAGGCCATTTTCTGGTCACCATACCGAATCGCTCCATTTACTAGCTTACATATCAGCATGGGTACTACATGGGTCAAGATTATCAACCCCCATGACTTGACGGATACTCATATCCACTGCAGAGGGGTCAGAGGCTAATTTCAAACATCTATGCCGAAAAAAACGTTTCGG